TTGAGAAGAATACAAAACCTATATTAATTCTTGATTAATAATATAATGATTCCCAAAAAGAAATTCTCGATCTAGCAGAGATTGTTCTGTTCTTAGAAGTGTCATTTGAGCTTCATCTATCTTGATTGTAGCCGAATAAATATAACGAATTGGAGAGGTCTGCCAAACAATGTAGATAGTAACTCTTTACCATTATTTTTCTAAATAAAACTTCCAATTCAAAATACGCTCAAACTGGGTATATTCAGTGGCGGATCTAAGATTTTAAGGTTGTGGGTGCTCTGAAGTGAAACTATAAAAAATATGTGTTAACAATGAGATTCAAACCTTGGTACAACAACATTAAAAGAGTCTTAAGTACCCATCCTAGAACCATTGGGCCAACTATATAATTTATTCATTGGGTGTTCTATGTTAATTTTATATAAATACCTATCAATTTTTACATAGATATATATATATATTTCGTAACGAAGTTAATGGGTGCTCGAGCACCCGGCGGACACCATGTGAGTCCGCCCCCGGGTATATTCTCAATTTTACTACCAATTTGTATGTTAATGTGAGCTGCATAATGAACCCAAGAGCAAAAAATCTTTTCTCATTCATCAAATTTCTTTTAACCTTTAGATAGTAACTCTTTACCATTCCAATCTATTCCACAAATTGACTCCTGGGAAGCAAAAATTGTTCAAAAGGATGTAACATAATGAAAAATTATTGTAATTTGACGTTGAACTTACTGCTTCCCTTGTAGCTATATCTTCTTCATTGAAGGTTTGGTGTTGGATATGTCAAATAAATATATCTTTTAAGTTCAACAACAACCATGATAGTAAGTGCGATATTGTTAAGTCGAAAAACGCGTCTGCGTAGGGGTGTGCAAAAACCAAATCGACCAGTAAATCGAACCGATAAATTGTTATCGGGTTATTGTTATTGGGTTATTGGGTTTTTAATGGGTTTAGAAAAAATAATTATTGGGTTATTGGGTCGTTTTCGGTTTTTCCTATTGGATTATTGGGTACACCGATAACCCAATAAGACGATAGTTATTTACTACTTTACCCTTCCTCAATATTAAATATACATAATTTAATACATAAATAGATTCAATATTAGCTTTTTAGGCTATATGATTTTTTTGTTAGGGAATTAGTGAGAACTTTGTTGATTATCCGGTGGATCAAGCAACTGTTCAAGATTGTCTCATTGAAATATTTTATTTTAGTTTTAATTCTAGTTCGTAATTGTAGGCGATAGCTTTTGCAAGTTTGTGAATGTTAGTAATTTAATCAACATTCAAAGTTTTCTATTATGTTTTGGCGGTAAGTTGGTAACATGTAATTATAACATACGTACTATTATATATTATTTGATCGACATTTTCTTATTGGGTTAACCGAAACCGAACCGATAACATCAAAAACCGATGCGAATATATAATATTTAAATTATTTGATGCTTCAAAATTAATTTTTGTAATCTTGTTTGGTGGCTATCTAGATACTATAAAGTCGATTTAAATCTAGATTTGAGCAAGATCATGTAGTGGTTGAGAATTCTTCCCATCATTATAGTTAAAGATGTTGATAGGAGTAATCTTATTTCCTTTTTTCTCTCTGTATGTCTTATTATTGTTATTTCAATGTGATTATAATTTTATATTTGTTGTAATGTCATTTTGTTCTCTCTAATTCAGACGTAGATTTGTTTTGTTCATGTGAGCTAAAGCATGTAGACTATAATGTTGGGCCGGTGTTTAGCACGGCATACTTATCTATTATTATTATAAGTGGGAATGATGTCAGACAAAAGTTGAATTATCATTTTGTTTCTATACTAAATCATAATCAAAGTAATTAAATATTAGTAAATAAATTGTTAATTATTTTATAGTCTTAACTTAATTACTCTTAATTTTAAAGTTGAAAAGTCTTAAAAGTTAATTACATTTAATAATTTAACAACATAGTCTAGAATTAAAAGAGAAAAGTTGAATTACTATCTTATTCCTATCATTAAATTAAAATTATAAAAATCATTTAATTGATTATTAGTAAAATATTACTATATATAAAGTATATAATAAAGTTTAATTATTTTAAGGCACATTTTTTTTTAAAAAAAAAAAGTTCAGAAATTTTGAAGTTTATCGCTTAGCCCTATTTATAAATTAATTAATTGTTAATTTATTTACCTGTGTTGGTTTATGTCTCCTTAATTCTTATTTTGATGCTCTAATAGGTGAGTAAATTATTTTAATGAGAAATTAATTTTTTTGTAATCTGTTCAATTTTTTGGAGTTATTTTTTAATACTACATATAAAACCTTTTAATTGATAGTATCTTAATAACAATGTATAATTATTTAGTTTCAACCATCAGTAATTCTATCCTATAATAATGAAGACATATTTAAATGATGCAAATGAAAAGGCATAACAAACAAGGAAAACAAAATGTCTCATTTACTATAATATATTGTGTGTATTCTCTTTACGGAAAAGAGCCTAAAATACCCTCAGAGTATTGGAAATGGTACAAAATTACCTTCCATCCACCTATTAACTCCAAAATACTCTTTCCACCCACCTATTGACTCTAAATACCCTTGTCATCCACCTTTTGGTTCAAAATTGACCACTTATTTAATGGTTTTAAATTTAAACTATTTAAATATTTTTTTTAAATACGTGGCGCTAAACAATTTGTTATAATTTAACTTATTAGTGTAATTTATAAATCAATCCACTACCCACCCTTTATTAATTAAACCCCTCCAAATTAACAAATCCATCACATTATTAATGCAACAACAGAAAAGCTACTGTCAATTGAGTGTTTTTTAAAAATTTGAGTTGAAAATATATATAGAAGTAAATTATCATACATTTAAGTTTCTAAATAAAAATTACCGATAAACTTAAAAGTTTGACTATGTTCATCTTAATCATTGTTACGTCTCAATTACGTGATGTTACTTCATAGGTAAAAAAATTTCAAAATAATATATTAAAGGTTTTAAAACAAATCATAAATATTTATAAATTATATTTTTAAAAAAGTGCATGAATTAATTCGGGATGTATTACTTCTTTACCTTTAATCATAAATTTCGAATTCAATCTTGAAAGAGAATCCTATTGAAAGTGTCCTCCTAAATAAGCGGTTCAACCTAAATTTAATTGTGGCTTCGGTTCGGACTCAATTAATTTTGGATGTCATTTTCAGGAATCTATAATTACATCGTGTCTTAGTAGTGTTCATGGAGATTTTGATATTATAATTAGATTATTAATTGGGTGCGGCTTATTAGTAATGCGTGAGTTGATTTATAAATTATATTAATAAATTAAATTATAATCAATAGTTGAACGCCAAGTCTTTTAAAAAATATTTAAAGAGTTTAATTTTAAAAAAATTAAATAAGTGGTCAATTTTGAACTTAAAGGTGGATGACAAGGGTATTTTGGAGCCAATAGGTAGATGAAAAGAGCATTTTGGAGCCAATATGTGGATGAATGGTAATTTTGTACCATTTTTAATACATCAAGGGTATTTTAAGCCTTTTTCTGTTCTTTTTATGAGATGTTAGTCATTCTAAAATCTAGCCTACCATCTTTGTGATTTCATATGTTCATGGGAGATACTCTAGTAAGCATTTTTTCTTTTTGTTTCATCTTTGCAACATGCTAGTTTTGTAGGTACAAAGAAAATTGACATTATCAAACTATTTATTACAGTACACACAATGGTTGATCATATTATATGTCATATCTTATCAAATGAATTTACATAGATGAACATTTTGAAAACTCTTATGATTTCTTTGATATGCTTTTCTTTTTTTGTAGCAGGATGATGGTATCGGCACCTTTAATTATAAGAGCGTTTTGCTAGACTTAAAAGATAAGTTATTAGTTAATTCTGTACATGGTCAGATTATAGAAATCATTCTCTTAATACTTATTTAGTTTGGTTCAATATTTTTATAATTTTCTTAAATTCTCTTTTGAGTTTGGAGAAATAACTTTCGAAAGAGTATAAATTGGTACTAATGCAACATGTTGACAAAGATAAATTGTTTGGTTATTTACACTTCCATTTAAGGTTTATTTGTAATTTATTCTTATTTTTTAATTCAAATATTACAAGTACAAGAACATTTCAATTTTAGAATATCTTTATAAATGTCTTCGATTTCATTCACAGTCAGTAATCTATAAACTATATTAAACTATCCCCAAGAAATATTTATGACATGCTTGTAATTAGTCTTGTAGTTGAATTTTTTTTCTTTTTTATGATCTAACATATAATCATAGAAATTGCTTGAATACTTTGCTTTGGTCATTCATATTTACAAAAATTGTTTGAGTGCCTAATATTATACCTATTCAGATATGATCATAGTGTTAGATTTTATTGATATATAATTAAATTTTGAACAATGTCAATATTTTATTTTTACATTTGCTAATGAAAGAGGTCATAACTTTGAATCAGATAAAGGGTGCGGGTATGTGCATAAATGATATCACTATAACTTTTTAATGGGCCTATCTATATATTTTAAATATCTCTATTACAAATAACTTTACTTTTTATAGCTTTAGTGTTAGATAAAATGATACTTATACAATGGGAAAAGTATTCTGCACCACCAACAGGTTCTTACACTTTTTTACTATTCTTACAACTTTTGATCCCTTTACTATTTTCTAAGTTCCTATTTACTTTTTCATATTTTTCTTTTTTAGATATTTTTATTTACTCGTCAATTTTGACAAATCAAGAAAGAATAGATTTTTTTTTATTATATCCTCATTTAAATTTCTTGAAATTTCATAGTTTTAATTCATTCTTTTTAAAATTGTATTTAATAAAGGTAATATTATAACTTTACTATGTTAATTATTGTTATCTTAATATGTGTACCTTTTATAAAGTGGACAACTATATAGGGAAAGAAGGAGTACATTTTATAATTATTGTTATCTTAATATTTGTATCTTTTATAAAGTGGACAACTATATATGGACAGGGAAAGTACGTTTTGCTTGTATAATCTTGGAATGTAAATCTACTAGATCTGCTTCTTATCTCTAGTAGACTTGCAATAATCATCACAAAGCAGTAGAATTAACAATTGATGTATAATTCTAAAGTCAAATGAAATTATTGCAGATCCAGATCTACCTATTTCATCATTTCTCAAACAACGGCTTCAAAGGTAACATCTTGTTCAATGTCTCTCTAGTCTTCGATCTCTTTTATCTTGTATGGTGTAGGTTTCAAATTAGATACTTCTGAGTACTTTCGGTATTTTAAAGATTTGACAAGTTCATGAATTTTATTTTAGCAATCTTGAAATTTCTAAATCTAGATCTAGCTATTTGATTCGTAATTTAACCTATTACTTCAACCTATCTGACAAAAATATGTGAAAAAGAAAGATTATGCTTAAGGTATCTTTTAATCAGAGGTCTTGGATGTGATATGATGAATGAGAATTCGGACTTTAATTTGAGTTTGGTGATTGAATGCAATGGTTTTCCTTGTTAGGTCAATAATATGCAACCAAAGTAGACACAAAAAATTTGGAGTGTTTAGAATCTTTCATTCTTAACTTTGGCTCGTCTTTTTAGGCGTTTATGTTTAGGGAATGATTTTAGACCTAAGTAAAGTTTTGGTTGAATTATTAGAAGCTTCGGATAGTTTTAGATAATTATGGATAGAGAACTTAATGCACTTCTAAAGAGGCTATGGATGGGGAATAAGTGTGAAGAATTAAAGTGCTGTTGTTGAACTTATAGTTAAATAGTTATGTAATAAAGATATTATTCTTTAATTTAATAAAGGGACGAAATGATAATTCAACTTTGAAGAAATGCGCTTTCCACTTTTAATGTAAATTATATAGAAAATATTGAAATTAAAAATATTAGTTTTATTAATTAATTTATGATTTTCATATTCATTTTTAAATATATTTTTATAATATTTTCTTTCTTTTATCATTTCCGTAATGATATGATCTCTTTAAGTAGCTATATATATGTACATACTGATATGGGAGCGTAATAAGAGATTATTGAGGATAAGTCATGTAGATATATTCATATTATTAGAGGTCTATCATAATTAGTTTTTCATATTTCTTGCTTGACGGTCAATGTACTATTCCATTATTATGAATTTCATTTAATGAATAAAATATAAATAATTTCAGCACTAATAAAAGTTTAAGTTAAAAAAAGTATAAATCGATAAAGAATTAAAAAAAATTAAACTGATAAGAACAAATATAACATTTATATTCTTCTTGAGACTTTAATTATAACAATATATATAGTGAAAAGAAATATATAAGGAATAAAGTTCTTGATGATACCTTCTTTATATATATATATATATATATAGAGAGAGAGAGAGAGAGAGATAAAAGTAGAGGAATATCAAAGACATTTTAAAGTGTTTTAAATTAAATATTTGAAAGTTATGAACATGAAAAGCACGAGAGTTATAAATATTAAAAATACTAATTGAATAGGCAATTAGATAAGACTTATAAAGATAAATATTTAAAGCAAAAAAAAAACAATAAATAAGTAAATAAAAGAGAGAAAAATATTAGCGGTAAATAATATTGAAATAAATATAGGGTTGTCATATTATTTATAGTGAACAAAAATAGCCACATCATAACAATAAGACTTCAAATATAATTCTTTGATTTTTCCTGTACATGAAAGTAAAATACAAAATGCACATAAATTTTCACAAAGTCAAATACTACTACATTAATTAAGTTATTTAAATTAATTTGGAGAAGAGGAAAAGGTTTAGTTAGAGTATCAGATACAAGTTTTCACGTACTAAATAAATGCACATACTTTTATGGATATTTTAAGTTTTTAATTTTTTTATTTTACACCTTTTTACTTGTAGTATTTATCATAATAGTAATATAGTAATATGATTATTATTTACAATTTAATTAGTTAAATATTTTACAATATTTGAATTAACATAAGGGTAATAAATTGATGATTCAATTTTATACTTCTTCCTTTTATATCTATATCTATCTATCTATCTATCTATCTATCTATCTATCTATCTATATATATATATATATATATATATATATATATATATATAGATATATATATATATATATATA